GTTTGCCATTGCCTCCTTTCTATGGCTGAGAGAGTGTGACTGGCCCAAGGTCACCCAGCTGGCTTTGTGCCTAAGATGGGACTAGAACTCATGGTCTCCTGGTTTCTAGCCTGATCCCGTAACCACTACAACAAACTGGCTTTGTATCATTATTAGCCTCATTTAATTGTCAGTAAAATATATAGATGTGACTTGGAATAATAAAATTATACAACTCAATATAAATAATGGCCAGAGTCTGAATTTGCACACTTAATATGGTACAGGGTTAACAATATTTTACTAAGTATTAGTAATACTGGAATTAGAGCTGGAGTATTAAGAAACTATTTAAACAACAAGATATTGCCAAACTACTGTAATAACAACAATTTAAATGTATATGCTACCCAACTCCCAGCAGCTCTGGGAGGTCTTTAAAGGTGCACTGAAAGAGTAATGAATGAAAACCAGTGGGAAGTAATTATATACTGAACTGGGAAAATGGTATTTCAGTTTTTGTAGAAGCAGATATACCCAAAATGTGCTGCAGAAGCATAATGTTAGAATTTTATATTATGCAAGCAGTCCTCTGGCAAGCGTATCTTCTATTTTCATTCTGATCCCCTACCTATGATCCAGTTCAGTTACTAGTTTTATATGTTCTTCAAATGTTGGTTCCTTTCCATTTAGTTCTAATATCCACCCTGTCAAATTATGATTTATTGCTTTCCCAACTAAAATCTGCAAGCAAGTTCAAACATGGTTCCAGTTCCCATTCAGATATCAGTTCATCTGCCTCCACTGTGGAACTGGGAGACATGAAGCTACGAGCTATAGAGGGAGTTGGGCAGGTTCAGCAGACAATGTATTTGTCCAGTGCATAAATCACTCAGAAAGTTTTCAGCAGAAATGGTCTTGCTGGTCAAGCAAAAACCTTTGGTTTAAATATTTAAAAATTTTAAGGAAAAAAAAAGTTTAAAACTATTTAATGTTTAAAGCAGTAAAAAAGACCAAATAAATAACAAATGTCATCTCATTCATCTAGCTAGTGTTCTAGTGGTTCTTTGCATTGATACCATGCATCAGCTATTAATTGTAAATGTATTCACAACACCCTTTATTGCTATTTCAGTCCATAATATAACAGATCTTTAAACTTTGGTATGAATCCCAAACTAGGCCTAAGACAAAATCTGTAACCTTCCAGATCCTGTTTAACTTTCATTTGCATTGCCTCAACTAGGATACTATGGTCAAAGAATGAAAGTTGTAATCCAGCTCAAGTACCAGAGATTTCTCATTTCTGGTTTAAAGGACAAACCAGGACAAAATGGAAGTATGGAAGTCAGAATTTTAAGAAGTCTTTAAAAAAACTTTAAAGGAACAATACAAATCTATGCCTAATGGCTACATATAATTCAATACTATATGAAAACAAGTATTTAAATTTTTTAAACATAATTTTAAAAACATTTTACTACATTTAGAAGCTAGTCTTTCTTTTCTGAAATAATTTACAACCTAATGACCAAAAACTACCTTAAACTATACATTGCACAAAGTGCAGAAATTTACTTGCACAAGTATTTCATGCAACATTAGCTCAACAAGAATGAAGAGGGAATCTCTAAGCTGCAGTAACAGTCTGCTAATACATTTGAAAGCCTTGTTGCTTGTGGTCAGCTAGATCAGAGGGGATAATTGATTATTTATTGATTTATTTAATTTAACTAGCAGACTTATATATGTCAGCAAATGTAGTAATATATGTCAGCAAATGTGCTGTATTCCAAATGTATGTTCCTACTTTCTTCTAAAGCAGATGTATCACACTGAATAATCGAAGATTCATATAACTCTCACCACTATAAAAGGAGAACAGCTGAACTACTCACTTTTCCCTTTCTAGAAGTAAATTCATAGGAGGTCTGGCACCATAATGATTCTGATAACTCAGTTGATTTTGAGTCACTCCCTTTGAAATGCATATACCCGAGATTTTCTCCTTTAATTATCCTGGCATTATTTCATTCATATCACAGTTATTATTCACGATAAGCAGACTTTTAATAAAACATAACAGCTATACTATACTACTGATTTTTAGTCACAACCTAATTGCATTTTGGAGTCCAGCATTTAATTTGGAACATTTGCTAAAAGGTTCCTATGAATAAACGGAAGCTAAAATAATAATATCAATATTTCTCTGTGACAGAGACTTGGAATTCCTATAATCTTTAGAAACAATGACATGAGTAGTTTGTGGTCCTTTTGAACCCTGTTTTCCTTAGACAGAGGAAAGTCTGACTATGAAATTCTAAATGCAGATGAATCTTTTTGTTTAAAATCCTCTGCCCTATTTCTGTATACAATAGCATTTCAAATGTGTTGCTTAAAGGATGCAGAATGTCCATCAGCACCTTCCATCTGTGACAATTGTAGCACAAATCTTGTTCTAAATTTGTGGAAATTAAGATGTGATTCTAAATGCCTCTGGAGTTCTTGTCATATACCTAAGATTCATTTGGATCTGCTGACAGCATCAGTTTCTTAAATTATATTTAAAAGAAAAATATATTTCATTTGTTTACCTCAGACATTTTAATCATTCTTCGGAAATGGCATTTTCAATACTGCATGTTTCAAACTACAGTATTGTTTTTTTCAATACATAAGATTTAATTCAATGATGTACAGGACAAAATAATGAGGTTAATTTTATATATTCCATATAAGGTCAAATCATATAATCAAAACCAATAATTTGGGGATATGGTTTGAGG